AATGACCATTTCGAGTATTTAAAGTCGAAATTTTGAGAATAAAGTTGAAATTTTAAAAAGTCAAATAAAATTAATTGAAATTGCAAAATTAAAGTTGAAATTTCAAGATCATAAAATGTCGAAATGTCGTAAATAATGTAGAAATTTTGACATTAAAAAAATCTAAATTACATGAATGAAGTCGAAATTTTGACTTCAATCTCAGAATTTTTTTTAATCATGAAATATCGACTTTACTGTCATATTTTTAATTTTTTTTTAATCTCAAAATTTCATTGTTCAACAACACAAACAGGCGCGGAAAGCAATTTGTGATTTGCGCGCATGCGGGTCACTTCACGGACGCATTCTGTTCACATTAGATGCTGCATTCATTGTTGTAATGTGAACAACTGCACAAAAAGATCGGATTCAACAAAAAATCTGAATTGTGCATCAAAACCTGCAGTGTGAACGTAGCCATAATCATGACCTTCTTTTGACATTTGTCAGTAAACACGAGGCCTCTCTGTTGTCAGCGTTGAGTTTTGAAATGAAAGTTGGTTTTTAAAACTTAGTTTGAGATATTATTGTGGAGCAGCAGGTCATAACAGTGCAGTGATTTTAAAGTTATTTCAGTTTCGACAGGATTAAGATAATGGGATTATCAGATTGAGGCTTTTCCGTCTTGTTGCACCTGCCCTCTGAGATTTCTGCAGGCTTGACTTTAATACAAGATGAAGGCGGCTGTGAGGAGGCGTAATGGCGCCACCTGTTGAAACAGGCTGTTTTGGCTCCTCTGCGTATTCAAATCATCTTTATTTCCTTCACAGATTTAAATGATTAATCTTATTAACAGGATCTGATTTTATACTTTAAGATGGAAACTATTAATCTGCATCAAATCCAGGAGTTGCTTTGCAGCTTTCAAGACTCTGACAGCAGAAACATTTCTCAAAACGACTAAATTCCAACTTCGTTCCTTTCACATCGACATTCAGCCTGACAGCCCCTCTTACAGAATGACAGATTACATTCGACTGAATCAAACTGTCCAGCAGGATTGAGGGATGGAGCTGTTCAGATACCTGCTACACCCCTCCACGCTCACAGGACTGGATGTACCGGCCGTATTCACCGACAGGCCGCTTTCTAGGAATCTGCTCATGTTGCTTCCCAGAATCTCTCTGCAGCAGCATTATTGGTTTCCATAAATATTCACCTGCTTTCCTCTGACTTATTTACAGACGCAGGCAGCTGGTCACTGATGAAAAAAGGCTTTTCATTCACTACATCAATAAAAATATGTACCGCATGGAGAGATGTCACTGAATACTTCGCATTTTTCTTCATTCATTTTAATCAACAAATAACTCTGTCATCCTGTGTATCCTAGTTTGTGCCATGAAGCTCTGCGGTCACCTTAAATCTACTAAACTTACATCCATGAGGCTAAATGCTGCTCTTGGTCCTCTCACGACCGTAAACACACACACTGTAGTTGATCTTGGAGCAGCATCCGTCAATTAACTGAAAACTGAGACGCCTGAAAGAGTGTTTGGCAATCTAATGAAGACGCTGAACTGACTCATCCAAACCCGCCAAAATAAAACTTCATTTCAAATCTTAATATTTCATTTACCAGAGTCAGATTTTCACCAAACTGCAGCTTTGGAATATTTTAAGCGATCAAATTAAACCAAACGCGTGAAATTTGCAGTTTTATGAACTTTTTAATCATCTTTCGAGGGAATTAAAACTTTGTGTAAGCTGTGAGATTTTCTGGAGGAAAACTCATTAGAACTTTGGTGAAACTCCTGATTGGCAGCAAGTTTTTAAAAGTCAGTTATATTACTCTGTTGAGGACTTTTTATACATTTGATAAAACGACACTTTTACAAAAGAGAAAGTATCATCAAAATAGGATCCTTGAGACTTAAACATGTCAAAGGTAAATGGCAGCATTTCGCTTGTCCAGAAAAAGAGTGTCCTGGACTTTCCTTGTTGTCAGACAAACTGAGTTGTTTAATAAAATAATGAGGGAAAAAAGTGGCAGCAGTTGGTCCTGCAGAAGGATCATATGCTGTATTTTCACCTCGAAAAGGCAAGAACATAAGTAAAGACAGATTAAGAGAGGGAAGGTTTCAACAGCTGCAGCAAAGTTAAAGTTTTATAATCGTTAAGTGTCCAAAAACAGCAGATCCTACATTTCCCACAATGCAGTGCAGTTGCATAGAACACTGTCTTTGCTTTCAAAATGAGGCGTGTTCTTTGGAGAAGATTGTTTGAAGATCTTCTGATGGGATTTCTTACTCAATGATCTCCCTTACTTTTCTCTTCTTGTGATCCAGAGCAATGCACTGACCTCAAAGCGACACTAGAGGGCAGCGTTGCCTCAGATATAATGGGCATATCTTCTCACAGACTCTTAAATGTGTCTTTGAGTCTGTGTATTGGTGGTCTTAAACATCAGCTGACTCCTGCTGAATCTGATCCGATCTGTTTGTTAATAGATCTGATGACAGTCAGACAACAACAGACATATAAAACACGTCAATTTATCATAAACTCCATATGAAAGCATCAAATTGATCTATCTAAATTCTCACTCTCCTGATTTCTTTCATCAGCTTTCCCAAAAAAGACTCATAAGAGGACACCAACTTTTAACAAGATGTTACAGGTCATTTTGTAAAAACCAAAAATGTAGAATAATGTGCTCTGTAAGTTTAGATGTGGATGTTTCAGGGATTACTGGACAAAAAGTATGTTTTTTATGCTGTAGACCAAAATTAGGAGGTATAACTTCTCCGTTTTATTTTCTGCAAACACAAAAATGTTTTAAACAATAAACTCTGGAGGTAAAATGTTAGGGTGCTTTTCTAATTAAGTCCACTAAGAACCTAAACTCTGGTTTCCTTTCCCCCCCTCACCACAGTGAGAGAAAAGCCGTGTAATTTCACCTCCTGAAAAACTTCTCACAGTCGTTTTGAGACTGTAAGCAAAGAGCCAGCTCAGCCGGACTATTTAATGAACCTGCAAGACTGCAAAGGAAGCAACACTTACGCTTCAGACAAGACTTAACAAGCTCCTCGAGGACTTGAGTTAAAGAGGGGCAATAACAACATTACAGCCAGCTCTTTTTGCAAAGCACCATGGGAACTGGAAGTGTTGTGTTGATGCAACATGCTGATGTGAACCACTTATACTTTCACAGTCCTGTTTATCACTAACATGATACCCTATATGAGCTGAATCAGGGGAGGGGAGGCGGGGTCGGGACTTAGAGGTACTACTAAGAGATGTTTTCAGGTAGCTTTGGTGAAGGATACTTTGATTTTCATTATATTTATATGGACGACATGCCTTCATTTGCTGTAAAAGTAAAGCCAAAATGCTGCCACTAAACTCATCCTCCTGTCTTCAAACAGTGACATGTATCACTCACTATGAGTTACAGTTAAAGGGATAACACAGCGTAAAATAAATTTGTGGTCAAACACGCTGTAACACAGAGTTAAGACACCCCGTCAAGAGATGAATGTTGCCGACCGCTTGCTTCTCTAGTTATACCAACTTTAGTAACGACCGCACGATAGCAATACACAGCGGTCTGCCGAGCCATAAACAAACCTCAACCAAAACGCCACTCTATAGCCACAAATAATGCTCAGAACAGCACCTAACTTCATCAATAGTACATATAGGGTCCTACAGTGGGGTGACACAGCTCAAGGAAGAACATTTATGATAATTTCTTCATGGAAATGCAATCAGACCGAGACGCTAAGACAAAGGAACTACAGTGTCTGCAGAGTAAAATGATTAATATTATGATTATTACTTCAAGGAAATGATAAAGAAATGATCATAAATGTTTTTCCTTGAGCTGCGTCACCCCACTGTAGGACCCTATATGTACTGTTGATGAAGTTAGGTGCTGTTCTGAGCATTATTTGTGGCTATAGAGTGGCGTTTTGGTTGAGGTTTGTTTATGGCTCCTCAGACCGCTGTGTATTGCTATTGTGCGGTCATTACTAAAGTTGGTATAACTAGAGAAGCAAGTGGTCGGCAACATTTATCTCTCCAGGGGGTTTCTAACTCGGTGTTACGGTGTGTTTGACTCCAAATTAATTTTACGCCGGAATATCCCTTTAATCAAGGCATCTCCTCCAGCATGCTGTCAATCATCAGGTCTCACACCCACCCCCTTTACAGCATTACAAATGACAACAAAGACATTTTCCCCCTTTTTCTTGACGGTCTCGTCAGTTTCAGCTTGAAAATTCCGGAATAAAATCTGATCTGATTTACTTCCGGGTTTGTTTTATAAAATTGTCTGCCTTCAAAAAAGATTGTGAAGAGTCCCTTTCCAAAGTGATGAAATAAAAACCACCTTTTAATAATCAAAACCTCCTTTGTTTTGATCTCTTAGCCAAATTTTATATCTGTGTACTCAGCAGACGGTCTAAAATTGAAGATAAAGTGACGAGAGTGGGGGAAATATGTGAAGCGGTGTCTCTAGCAACTCATCCAAACCAGTAATGTGCAACCAGCTGAGAGCTCCATTAAGCTGATTACCTTTACAACCGAGGAGATAGTGGCACTCTACCTGCAACAAAAACCACATCCAGGACCAGATCCTGCACCAGCACTATCATCCGCCTTTACTTAAGTGGCCCCCCAATGACAATCCAGCCCTCTCAAAACCAATAAGTGGCCCCTCCTCGGATAAAGCAACTAATTGCTCGGCTCGTTGTAGCTGAAAATGATCACGCTTACATTGTTTTCATGTTTTGTTGCCATGGCAAAAGGAGGCATGGAAACGTAAGGGTGAAGCCCTGGCACATATATCTTCTGGAGGCGCGTGGCACCAGCCTGACTGAAACGTAACCACTCCTCTTGTTCGTATTGCCCTCCCCTCCCTCCTCTCCCTTTTTCTACCACTTCAATTACACAGAGGGACGTGCATGTGACAGTGGTTGGATTACACAACAGGGGGATGGGGGTTTGGGGATGTCCAAATGCAGCCAGAAGTAGGAAAAATAGTCCTCTGCTGTGTTATTTGTTGGTGTCATGGGCTCTTCTAAATGCTGTCATGCATCCATAATAACATACTGCACAAGTAGCATGCTGCCTGCCAGAGTACACTGCTACAACTGACCTGAATAGACAAAAGCAAACATAGGTTGCGTTAAACTGTCAGTCATTGCTGTTTTGAAACTGGTTGGATGGCAGCGGTTCAGAAACTACTTAAAGCTCCTGTGAGAATTTCTCAACTGGATAAGAAACAGACTGAAATGAAGACTGATATCTCTCAGGACCTACAGAGGCACACAAATCATCTCTTTAGTGTATTTTTTTAATGCTCCGGACAGCTACTGTGGAGAAAGTATCAGATTCAGTGAGGAAACAGCCTGGGTTTACATTTTCCACTATAAGGGCCTGTTTCCACTCATGTTGTTTGAGCTCTAACAGTGCCTGTCTTCTATACAAAACTGATACAGTCTAGTGTTTTAAAGGCTCAACATCAATAATTAGAAAGTTACTACAGTATTTTTTTTAAGTGACACATTCCACATTTGATTGCTTTTACATTATCTTTTTAAAATTTAGTATAAAAAAGCAAATAAAAAGTACAATTTTGGTCTGATCTACTTGAAACAGACTTAATGTTCACTCTTTAAGGACGCAGAATTGCAGCAGACAACTTTATCCCTATAATGCCAGAAACCACAAATTATGTCCGGAAAATTCTAATTTTTGATTTTGTTAATTTAAGATGTTTTTGGAAACTGATAAACCACAGGAGGGCATTTTTAACATTTATCGGACTGTATTAAGGTGTTTTTTAGTAATTTGTTGATCATATTGATTTGATAGAAGTATCATAAAAGTATGTTTCAAATATGATACAAAAGGGAATAAAGGGTTATGATCTTGGCAATGATAAAACCCAGTTAGAAATGCTTAGAAATTGGGATTATGCGATCTGCCAGGGCCAAAAACAGCTGCTAGTGGACACAGGCCCTAAAGCTGGTAAATAAGTGACTCATGAGAGGATGAATTCTTATTAATAGTATAACTGAATGTATTACCTTCATCTGAAATATGATAAAGATGTATAAGTCTTAAAAAAGTGTCAACCTGCACAGTTTCGATTATACCCTTAAACTGTATCAAACATGGGTGTAGTCTCACAGTTTTAGGGATGCCTACTGATCACCTTTTAATCAATCTAGTCACTAGCAAACAGGTGGGACTGAGGCGTTCGTTTGGCTTACAATGCACCCATCAATTTGTCTATTTGGCCAACATCTTCTCTTACTTTTGATGTTATCTCAAAAGATATGTTAGAATAATGTTTGTATCTTGTATTACACACCATAAAAAACAAGCAATACTTTAAACTGTTATTCAAATCAGATTGAAATCATTCTAATTTTTGCTGTGAATATCAGCATTTTAATATTGGACTGAATGGGAATCCTTGGCTCTTACAGCCAGCCTCAAGTGGACACTTGAGGAACTGCACTTTTATTTGTACTTGTACATTAGCTTCATTTTCCAGCACCAGAGGTCACATCCTGGTTCAGAAACGAATTGACTGATCACGTCATCATGTTGTAAAGCAGTGGGGTACACCAAACAGGCCACTAGACGATCATAGAGCCTTTACGCAGAGATCGAAAACCATTCAAACTGATATAAACAAAAGAAAAGCTGCTAACAGTTTAGAATTGATCCAATCTGCTTTCACTGCACCACCACACTGCACCATAAAAGTTAAACTCTAGTTAGGCTTAATCAGCTGTAATTGAACAGTTATCTACTGATACTAAAGAATTTGTGTCAGTCTGTTCACATTCATCAGAACTGAAATCAAGAGTATTGTCATTTTTTCTGGACTGATTTCAGCTCAGAAAAACTGCAGCAAAGTTCTGATTTAAAAGAATAAAAACGTTTTTCTCTACTTGGAAACCGTGTATCCTCTTCAAATTTCATGCCACGCTGAAAAACGAGGGCTGCAGTTGCAGTTTGCCTCCACCATTCACCACAATCTCCTAAATCATGCCGGGGGAGGAGGATGAGGGGGGTTGTGGGTAAGCCAGCATGTTTGTTTTACAGTGATTAGCCTATTATGGGGTCCGCCGCTGCCAAGCCCCGCTGAGCGCTACACGCATGCCTCTGTGACCTCGCTGAGCTGAGTGGGCGAGTCGCAGGCGTCATTATGGTGGCTGCGCTGTTCGCTGCCGTGGAAACCGGGCGGACTGAGGAAAGAGAGGTCTGCGAGTTCAACATGTAAGGGGTCACAGGAGGTCAGACAGAGCTCACGCTGATCTTTACTGTGTTGCATCAGCGCGGTGGAGTAACGCTGCGCAGAGAGCTGCACATCTCTGTGTGTCTGTGCACTTTTTAGATTTCTGTTTAAGCTCCAGTTTCCCTCTGCAGTTGTAAGAGAAGCAGTTGTTTATAGCCGTCAATGACAGCTATCCAATCTGTGGTCACTCTGGCCTCACCGACCAATGGAAACACATTATTAGGGAGGGGGGGTCGGTCGTCTGTGTGCTTTCTGGTCTTGTGTGTGTTTTGGGGGTTAGTGTGTGTTGCATGTCCATAAAAATTGTGAAAGCTGCATGAGGCTGTTGGTCACACTTGGCCCATGCTGTCGGCCTTGTGGATTTCCTAAAACAAACTGAAGCTCTGAAAACGCTGCGGTTTATCTGGAAGCAGAGAGACTACAACTGCATTTACATAAGAAAAAAACGAAAACAAAACAAGAACAGAGTCGAAGAAAGCCACCAGATACTCTGACTATCATTATACTGATGTTTTTTTCTTACAAATAGTAGGTAAATGTTTGGAAAATAATGCAAAAGCCGTTTTAAAAAGTTATTATCAATGATCTGTTTCCAAGTAAGCCAATACAATCAAATACAGGCTGAGATCTGGGAACAGTCGGCTCAATTTTAACACTATGACTCTGACAGCTACGATAAACAAACATCTTACAAGAAAAATACTTAATATGTCATATGTGTGTTTTTTAAAGGTTATATGAAGTTTTTACATGCCTCTGGAAAAACAACTGACAACTGTGTAACCACGACTTTTCACTTCCTGAAGTTTCTGATCAAGTTTCTGAAGTTTCGTACAAAAGAACGGAGCTGCTGAGTGAACGACGTGAACTGAATCACTCCGAGACCTGAATCGTTCCTTTCTCAGTTCAGTTGAACTCAGCCGGGTGCCTGGCATGCCGGTCGGGAGCGGAACTGCCGCCTTTGACTCTTTGGCGAAAAACACACAGCCAGTCAGCGAGCGGAGTCTCGTGATTCACTCACAGCAAATGAACGATATGTATCAGTCAGTGAACAAAATGTATTAGTCAGTCAGTAAACGACACGGTGGACGAAACGAACAACTTCCAAATGACTTTATTCAGGCAGAGGAGGGAGGGGTGTAGTGTCACTTACTGCCGAGCACCGGTTCGTTCACTGAGGCTAAGATAAAACAGTTCATTATAGTACACGTGTATAAACTTTCCTGCAAGAATGCATTAATTTTAGACGATTCAATGCAATATGCTATTTGATATCTTTAAAAGTAGCAGAATCCTCACTACGGCTGCGATGTTTATTTCTTTTTAATCTCTGCACTTTTCCGCAATATAAAAGAACGAAGACTCACGCTCGTTTAACTCCTTTTTATCATCTAATTTTCCATAATTCCAGAGAGCACTTAGGGAGATGTTGGCTCTAAGCATCTTGTAAAATGGTCAAACTCCATCTGCCCATAAAGATGTCCAATACGAGAAAACGATCCAGAGCTACGCCGTCGACCTTTCGCTCCTGACTCTTTCAGTTTAAGCCACAGAATCGAATAAGGAGCTTTTTTTGGACGTCTTACATGGCTCATTTTGAGGTTTTGTTTATTTTCTCTTTATGAAATTCTACTTTAATTTGCGGTTGCTAAGAACATTGTTTGATGCTTTGTAGAAACAGGCCTCATAGTTCCTCTGGCACAAGAGGTTATAGGAGAACAATCTGCCTCCACAAGCCCGAAGAAGTGAGTTTGGTTACGCCTTCTAGTAGGTGATGATGAAAAGATTAAGAGCGGATTCTTTTCACACTTTTAAGCTACGGTCGCGTGTCTACGCCAGCTTATTCAGAGCGGAGAGTTGATCCAAAAGTGAGTCAGCCCTTCGCTGTCACGGAGGGCGAGGATCACGCCCTTTTTCTAACCTTGCAGCATCACAACCAGAGTGGGTCTACAAGGTGCGACTCCTTCACAGTCTCCCTTCAGGTTATGTCTCAGGGGGGTATAAGTGTATTTGACACTTTAAGACCAGTAAATAAAGGGCAAATGTATTGTTTTATTGATTTTATATTGGTATATTTTTTAGTTTAGGTTATCTACAAACTGCTCAAACTTCTGAGCAAAAATGTAAACTTCTGAACTTCCTGCCGCTCCTCTTCCACCGTTTTTATGAAACCCAGTTACTGTTTTCTTTCCTGGTCATGGGAGATTCTTCTTCACTGTTCTTTATATTTATTTTTGAAAAGTCTTAAAAAAAATCAAACCCACAAGCAGTATTTAATATTTTCTACCGGACCATGTGAACCAGCTTGTGCTGTTCTGTCTCGCTGTGATCAATAAAGGAAGACTTAATTCTGGTTATTTAGATAAGTCATCCCATAGAGAATGGAAAACAGAGGCCTATTTATTTAAATACTGTGACTCAGAGCAGAAAAACGACTCCAGATATACTATCTGTCTCAATAAGTCCATACATGCATGCCCATACGAACCCCGCTGGTCCTTCGATTGCTTACCGTTACGCCCAATAAACCAACATCCCAGCCAAAAAGTGAAAGCTGACTGATATAGGAGAGTCCTGATTTACACCAAAGTCAATAAAAATCCCCTACGTTTGAGCTTTATTAACAATGGTGGTGGATGGAAAAAGCAGATTTGACAGGCCTGGTGCCGCTGGGAGAGTTCGAGTGTCTCCACATTGTCTTGCGTCTCGTCTCTCATCTGACGTCTCGACCTCACTCCCTCTGACTGACTACATCATGTCTTGGCACGCAGATAAAAAAACTCTGTGGAGGTCCTTTGGACGTGGAATGATAACCACATGAGGGCAATTACAGCGGTACAAAAAAAATTACAGAGGCTGCCGGGATCAATAAATCAAGCTGGAATGAGTGTCAGCTCTTAAAGGCACAATAGATGTGGTGGAGTTATTTGTGAAAGTGCATTTTAAAAGGCAATTTAGAGCAGTGAAATGAAGTGGCAGTGGAGTGTGTGGTGTGCTGCATTTCAAACACATTCAGTCATCTTGTCAGGGACTGTGACACCCGTCTGGTGTTGGTATCAAAGCTTTTAGATTTATCAGTCTAATTTTAACCTTAAATGAAAAGATGAAAACAAACTGAATTCAGAGGTCATGGGAGCCAGAACTGAACCATCAGATTGTAGGATCTGAGGTGCACCTAAACGTAGATGTCCTCTACATGAAAATCAGGTCAACTTTTTTATGTCATTCAGCCTCTATACTGTAGAGAGATAAGAGATTGCACGAAGAAAAGTGTAGATGTAGAATCAAAAGAAAAACAACAAAGTTAGGGAGCATGAGAAGGTTCTGGATCCTGCTTAAGTTAAGGGTGGAAGGCTGTATTATGCAGCCACAGGTGGAGAGATGAGAACAGGGAGAGGTGCAGGAGGAGGCAGGTGACTCAGTCAAATGAAGAAACTAGGAAGAAGAAGAAAAACTCCACAATACATGGATACAGTTTCAGTGATGCCTGCACCTTAACATTCTATCAGAAACCAATCCATTATGGACTGCTGCGGGGTGACGCAGTTCAAGGAAGAACATTTATGATTATTTCTTCATGGAAATGCAATCAGACTGAGACACTAAGGCAGAAGAACTACCACGTCTGCAGTGAAAAATCATTAATATGATGATTATTACTTCAAGAAAATGACAAAGTAGTGATCATAAATGTTCTTCCTTGAGCTGCATCACCCCACAACAGTCTGTAATGGACTGGCCCAAGGTCTCACTACAAACAAGTGGCTGCTGGAAGAGAGTAGGTGAGTTGTGTTTAGTCTCTTCGCTAAAGAAATCAGGCAAAGTTAAAAAGATGTTTGGTGGCTACAACAATGGCTGGGACCCTTTGTGTACTGTTGATGAAGTTAGGTGCTGTTCTGAACATTATTTGTGGCTATAGAGTGGTGTTTTGGTTGAGGTTTGTTTATGGCTCCTCAGACCGCTGTGTATTGCTATCGTGCGGTTGTTACTAAAGTTGGTATAACTAGAGAAGCAAGCAGTCTGTAACATTCATCTCTCGAGGTCGTGTTTAACTCTAACTTAAAATTAATGTGTATGCAGAGACCTGAGACCCTAGTGGACCACTAAGGAACTGCACTTTTTAGCAATTTTATAACAGCTACAGATCCTAAGGCTGAAAGTGGCATTTGCTGGTTTGTGATACCAAAGAACCACTATCGCCCCCTACTACGATCTGGTATTTCCGCTAAATCCAAGCATGAAGCGATGGAAGACGGTGACCTGGAGGAACTTGGAGTTCAGGGTGTTGACTTGGTCTCCAAGTTACAAAGATTTCAACTCAACAAAAAATCGATGTGATGTTCTTTTTGGTACTTATAACTTTTTTTCTAACAGAGATAAAAACTGATCCTGAACATACTGAGAGTCAATTCTCCAGTTTTAAATGCTCAATAAGTAGTTTTTTAATGTGATATCTCTGTTGTTTCAGTAAGAATGAACTGAGCTGTAACCTCTGCCTCCAGGATGCCCTGACCTCCAGCCCCGGGATGATGGCGAGGTCAGCGTGAGCAGGCGATCTATCAGGAGGAGAACAACAACTGTGAAAACACTTGTATCAAACTGTACCCACGCTCGGCCCCCACTTTTCCGTACGACAACTGAAAACCCCCAAAAAGGAGACTGAAGATGAGACAATGGGATCGACTTTCAGAGGCATCTGAGGCCCCTCTGCGCGTCTGTGCCGCCGTCCGTCACGCGGCTGTCAAGCCATCATTTAAACTAAACACAAAACGGGCGCACGCTGGAAATGCTTTCCTGGAACGAGCTCGCTGACATTTAGAGAGCACGAACATGATCACAAACACATGCAGGCATCACATTTGCACCGCACAAAACACCCACTTTGACAGTCCGACCACAGACAATCACTTATCTTCACACATGGAGACACACACACACATGTCAGGACAGTCTTGGTGGTTGAGTGTCACCTGTTAAACTCCCTCAAACACACACCTCTCAGCCTCAGACAAGGGGAACCAAGGGCCGGGGACTGCTGCTGTCTGGAAACTGGATACAAGATTGTTTGAAGACTTAATAGATTCACAGCGTTAACACCACCTCACACTCCCCTTTGTATCTATTTCAATCACTTTGTTGTCACAGCAAGATATGAGGACTGTTTACACGCTCTCAAACATGATGAGACATCATGTCTGATCAAAAAACAACCACATCTCCTCTAATGCCACACCAAACTCTGCAGAAACCATTTCCTTCCTCGTTCTGAGGGGATAATTACACATCACATCAGATAAGACAGGAGACGAGTCAAAATAAACACTCTCTCTTTCCTTCCCACCATCAATCAACGGAGCGGGGCGACGAATGTTACACAATGACACAGGCAAAGCTGATACAGCGGAGGAGATGTTGTAATGGATAGGCAGAGAAGGAGGGATGAGACAGAGGAAGGCTGGAAATAAGGAGATGACTGTGAGGAAGATAAGAGGTGTTAAAAAAACGGGAGATAAGGAAGAGAAAATGAGGGCAGGTGGATGAAACAGAGAGGAGCTGGATCTTGTAGAGAGGTGGATTTAAAGTGGCTGCAGTGGACCATTAGACAGGGTCTGTTTCTGGGGGGCTCTCCTGATGGAATCTTAAAGCCTGTTGATCAGAGATTTCAGTCTGGGTGAGTCAGAAATTAATCAGCATCAGGCGTCCTTGGAGAAAAGACATCCACCGTCCTAACTCTCACTCTGAAAACACTCCTGGTCCTTGAGGTACTTTGATTTTAAGGGATTTTGTCAGCTGAAAGTAGCATCAGGTGTGAAACGAAGCCTCGCTCAGGTTTCTTGTTTCTGTCTCTCCCCTGATCACACACACTCACACACACACACACACACATACACAATGAGTGTTGGGATTATCGTGTGATCTGCAGAGCAGCGCTGAGTGTCTTTGTGCTGCTGTTACAGGAAGTGTGTAAAGATATCCTGAAGCTCCTCTGTATCCTGGGGGCTGTAAACCACATAAAGGGGAGAAAACAAAACCAGCAGGGCCGGAAATCCTGCCATCACAGACAGGTGGGGTGACAATGGCTGTCCTCCTTCGCTACCTCTGTCCCTCCCTCCTTCTCTCTCTGTAACTCATCCATCACTTTGCTTTCAGTCCTCCTCTCTCTCCTTATCTCCTTCCCATCACACTCTCACCTTCTTTTTGTTCCTGCATACTCTTTCTCTCCTTTTCTTCGCTTTCTTTGTTACTGTTATTCTTCTCTCACCTCCTCCTCCTCCTCCTCCCTCATCACTCCTCTCTCTCTCTCTTTTTCTGTCTACCAACCTTTAATGGACGATACATACATTCAAAGGTACGCTCTTTCCCTTTGCACGCTGCTGTCTGTTTAGATTACTGATGCGATTGATTCGTCCTAACATCCCCCAGAAAAAGGCCATAAATTGAGTGGCTCCAGGATTGTAGAGGCACCAGCAGGGGGCGCTCATGTTACACAAAGAATACCAGTCCAAGGGTAATGCTAACAAGATTATATTACGTAATTAGTGGAGAGTAATGAGCAAACTCAGTCAATGATGATAACACCTTCCCTCAAAACATCCTCAATTATCTACTTTTTCAAGGGATATTCCGGCGTAAAATTAATTTAGGCTCAAACACACCGTAACACCGAGTTAGACACCCCCTGGAGAGAGATGAATGTTGCCAACCGCTTGCTTCTCTAGTTATACCAACTTTAGTTACGACCGCAGGATAGCAATACTAAGCGGTCTCAGGAGCCACAAACAAACCTCAACCAAAACACCACTCTATAGCCACAAATAATGCTCAGAACAGCACCTAACTTCATCAACAGGACATATAGGGTCCCAGCCACAGCACTAGCCACCAAACAACTTTTTAGCTTTGCCTAATTTCTTTAGCAAAGAGACTAAACACAACTCACCTACTCTCTTCCAGCAGCCGCTTGTTTGTAGTGAGACCTCAGGCCAGTCCATTATGGATCGCTATGGGGTGACGCAGCTCAAGGAAGAACATTTATGAACATTTCGTCATGGAAATGCAATCAGACCGAGACACTAAGGCAGAAGAACTACTGTATCTGCAGTGCAAAATTATTCTAGGTGATTTTTACTTTAAGGAAATGATAAAGAAATGATCATAAATGTTCTTCCTTGAGCTGCGTCACCCCAATGTAGTAAAGTTGGTATAAATAGAGAAGCAAGTGGTTGGCAACATTCATCTTTCGAGGGAGTGTCTTACTCTGTTTTATGGTGTGTTTGACCCTTACTTGATTTTATCCCTTGAAGTCTAACTAGTTAAAACATTACCAAATAATATGTAAATTACCCTTTTCCCAGCTGTAGCTGTTTAGTCTGTTTATTTTTTTTATAATGGGTCAATGAGGATCGGGTTACTTTTGGAGCAAGCCTCAAGTGGCCATTTGAGGAACTGCAGTGTGTCTCAAAAATGACTGACAAAAAGTCTTAGACTGACAGTTTTTTCCTTTTTTACCATCCAATCAACCACAAAAAAAGACTGGAAATAGGAAAAGTCTTATTCAGTAAAACTGATGATTTGCTAACGAGACAAACAGCCGGCAGTCTGGACTTCAACACTCTCGATACAAACATGTATGACAACACCCAAGTCTACCTGCCTCGCGGGCCTCCTCGGCTACAAGAGAACATCATTTCTCTCGACCTAAAGAGACTTCTCAACCCGCAGAGGTATAAGTTGACTGATGCGTTTGTGGGGCTGAATAACGACACTTGTTGGCCGCACAAAGGCAGCTGGTTGCTTTTGTTGCCAAAGATGACAAGCAGAATCGCCTTACTCTTGAGCGGACAATGGAGGGCTGCGATGATGTGGTGTTGCGTGTCAGCATTATCTACGGTCTTGCTGTGTTTTTTTAGGTCTTTGTGAAGAGGTGCTCTGCCATATCACATAAGATATGATTTCTGGTGAAGCCCCTGAACGAAAACGAGGTAGAGAAAGCAGCTGAAGTGCTCCCGTTTGAACACAAAACAAGCCCTCCAGAGTCACAGCTGTTGCTCAAGAGCGAGCCTTAGTGGGCTTAAAGGGAAAATCCGACCAAAAACATGCGTCATTGACGTTACTCCTGTGATTTACAGCCATAATGATGATCTACCCGCCTGTGATCTGGGAATTTTGAATATAAACACTCCTCTAAAAAGCAGTTTTACAACAGAAGCAGGACTATCTGCGCTGATGTCACGCAGTGACAAATCCTGCAGCTGCGCAGCTGAAAACAAACATCTGTTGTATGCGCAGTAATCCTACACACTTCTCTAGAGTTTCATTGTCACTTTGTGCAGTGAAGTTGGACGTCTAATGCATGAGAATGAAGCTGGAGGTTTATTAGTTTAACTGGATTAGCCAGCTTTAACGCAAAGGAAGAGTAGCTTTGCCAATAATCATGACATGGAGGTCTCTGGTGCGCTGGTTCGTCTTATATCCAGTGCAGTAACAGGGCTTGACACTAACTTTTTTCACCAGTAAGAAGCACACAAAGAACTTTAGGGGCACAATGAAAATTGATCAAATAATGAGTGTCTTATTGGTCGACATAAGAACTATAATTTGAAATCAATTTTAGGTCTTTTGGTTGCGTGACATGGAAGCTACTGAAGAATTCGCCTTTAAATTTAACACAAAAAAAAAATTTTTAGAGGACAAATTTGGGAAATAAAGAGGTGTGTCTTATTGTCCAACCTGCGTACTATTATTTGAAATCAATTTTAGGTCAATTAGTCACAACGACAAGGAAGGAAAACAGCCTTTTTGAGAACATCAATAGGTAATTTATTGACGGTCCCTTATACAACACACGACGTTGACAGCGAGGATGCCGCGCAAATTTAACCGCACTGCTGTTGCTGGTTATGGAGAGTGAGAAGACATCGATAGATCTGCAGTGAATGTCCGCCGAATATCCAATCTGAAACTAACTTCACCGGGGTATTTACATGAAAAAACATTTGTTGCCTCTGCTTTTTCATTCACATGTGCCCTGAGTAAGGAAAACATACATTATAGATGTCTATGCATCCATCATCACTAGTACAGCTCTGTGATTTGCCTGATCTGACACAGTGACCATCACAACAGACTTTGGCATGAGGCACTTTGGCGTCTTAGCTCTTCATTTCTCCGGGGGTAATTCAAATCCATCAGTCAGTGTTTATACATGCCATTTGTTGTAACTCTGTAACCCTCACGCACTCTTAATTGATTCCAGTGAGTGCAGTTGTCATTCCTGCAGTGAGGACAAAAAAAAAAAAGCCACAACAGGCAGGAATGTGTAGTCCAAGCAAGGACAGCAGTCACTTAAACACACATGGGAAAGGACCCGTGTCAACCCCGGAGGAGAGGACACGTGTTGAACCTCCCGATCGGAGTCCAAAGCGGGTTTGACTGAGCCGTTTTCAAAGTGCCATCTCTCACACTCACAAACACACTCATTTACACTCTCACACGTAGATTCACATCTCTATTTTGGTTGTTTCACACACTTACACACTCAAAGGCGCACTCTCTTATCCATATGAAGTTGACTTTTTGCCGCAGTGTAAGCTGATTTTTATTAACAGTGACGCATAACACAAACTTCTCCTTCATTCTCTTAAACTGGAGGAACACACACACATGCAGACAGACCAACTGCAGAGCCGGCAACAACACACAACCACAAACACTCCAGGGGAAAATCAATAATATCTTCAGTGACGGCACACACACACACACACACCCCGCAGACCCCCCTCCCTGTGACCAAAGAACAGGTGATCAGCTGCAAATGGGTGAAGTCAGAGAGGAGAGGGGGGAGGGGAAAGACAAGCCATTCATCACTCTAGAGTCTGCCACCATCTCCTCCAAACACACACACACACACATGCAGACACACACACAGGCACGTACACACACAGCAGCAGACATCTCCATTTAAGAGCACTTCGGCGGCAGCTAAACAAACCCGGGGCCCTCAGGTCGGACACTAGGGGGGCCACACAACAGGGTTTTGAAGCCGGGGCCGACGTGCAGCCTGGCCTCCTATTAGGGCGAAGTTCAAAGGAGACGGGCGCACACATCTTCAATCACAGGAGGGGCGAGGTGGAGTCCGAACTTCAAACAGGAGCGCTGTGCTGCTGAGCAAACAGAGCCACCAGGTGATCGCTTCATGAAGCAGAGAGGAGGGGAGGGGAGAGTTTGTCTCTGTGTCAAAGTTATTGATTTGTTATTATTGTATTATATTCACTCATATACTGAGGGCAGTGTTAGTTCAGGCAGGCCGACAGTGCAACTCAAGCCCTAATCAGCTGACAAGTAAACACTTACTATTGGATGGTACTGCACCTCACAAAACTACAGTACTTTTAAATCTGCAGGTTCACTAAATGGAAATCTGCTCATTGATTAGTCATAATGCCCTGACCCCACTACTTTTAAATCCCTTTTAAAAACTCACTTATTTAAAATTGCTTTTATTATCTAACTGTTTTATTCATTTTATATCTACTGTTTTTATGTCTTTGGTTTAATTACCTTGGGTTTTATGTACTATGTAAAACGTCTTGGAGTGTTTTTAAAAGCACTGTACAAATAAAATGAATAATTACAGATGCAAAAATACTTTTATTTATTAATTGACTTCTTTATTTTTCCGTTACGTCAAACGTTTATCACCGTTGATCACACTGGTTGCTGTTTTCATGTAAATTTATGATCACATGGAAGCCTTTCTGGCGTCCTTTCAAAATAAAAGCACCATAAATTACAATTGTGGACATTTTTACTGTACTGAGAGAGCAGCACCAGAATAGCCGATCCGAGGTCTCCCTGTCAGCTCAAGATTCTGCACTTCTCTCTATTTCACACTTTGTAAATCAGCTGGAAGCGACACGAGGTGAACTTCGAGGTGAGACTGGACGTCTGCCTCTTGACGTCTCAGTCAAAAGGCCACTGCCCTCCTGACCTTTGACCTTTCTGTGGGACCACACTGGCAGCCAAGTGCTGCCTGCTCAGCCAAATAATGAAATGATGCTTTCATACGCTTTTATTATCATGCTTTTCCACCTGGGGGCGCTACAGACAGCAAATTCATAGAGACAGTGACTTCTAGATCTCTCTAATTACTGTACAGTGATGGGGGAAAACCTGCACTGGGGCAGATCAGCGTCCAGACTCAATCTTTTAAGTGCAGGCTGGAGTCACATCAGAACTAATGTCTGTTTATGCTCCCTCTCCAGAGGTTATGATTACCGGCGACAGCGGCGTCACACAGTCAGCAGGTGCAGACGGAGAGAGGATGACCAAAAAAACAACACAGGTCTGAGGGATGTAACAAGTATCTGAACGTCCAGGGCTAAGCTCTCTAGGTGCTGATGACGGTTATCTTTGAGGATTATTTCAGCGACAAATTGGTCAGCAGGCCGGACTCTGTTGTCAACACTTGCTGTGGTGGTATCTTATTAAAGCATTAAATCACAGCAGGAGCACTCAAATTGATGGATACACCTTTAAATGACTGTTATTGGTATTAACACTGTTGAGTCCACCTTCAAATCAAGCTTGGAGAAATTGCTATATGCGACTTTAAATATTTTGGGACGTGTGTGTGTGAGACTTTCCAAAAGGGATTAGCAAAATTAAGTATTTTGATATCCCCATATTTTTTTTCTTTGTTTGCAGCACATGTAATCTGAGAGAGTGAAAGCAAGCTAAAAGAGGGCTGTGACTCTGGATTTTGGCAGTACAGGGAGTACAGGCAGACAGGCAGGCACAGGCAGTGCCAGTTGGTAGGTCCAAACTGCCCGTGGCCACTTTAGCTGCGTTACACACCTCTGGATCCAGAGCCAAAAAATGCAGGATTCACCGAATATCTAAGGCACAGCACTGGGTATGGTCGTCAGATTTGACAGGACCGATGATTTTAATTTGAGCTCAGACTGACAGCTGCAGAGGTGGGATGTGTAATGTGTAATCTGTGTATCTTCTCCTCTTTACTGTAAATCAAGCTGATGTGATGTGAGACAAACCTCAAAATGCTTATCCATAGTGAGGGGCCTTAAAATAGAAATCACAAATACTCGATTAAGACAGAGAGGCGTGACTCACCGAGGTCATATTTCTCTGTGATATTTTCTTTCTTGCTCTTGGCAGCTTCGTGGACTTCTTGTTCATCTCTGCAGCAACATGTCGCATCTTGTCGCATTCACCTCCGTGACCTATTGGAGACACAGGACAGCACGAGGGTTTAAACCTGAAGACGTCAAAGGGTTTTACCATCTACCAACAACTGTAAAAAGTACTAAAAGAAACAAAGAATCTGGAGAAATCTCTGCACAGAAGGGAATACAGACAGAAAACAACACTGGATGGTCTTCAGGCGGCATCAAATCAGAGATAAGTCACAGTTTGGCATACCTGCACATGACATGGATGACTTACATGTCTGGGACAGCACTACTGATACTGAACAAGATATAACATTTCACAATGTTTCACAACAGCATGGCTCGGTAGTAGAAGAGCTCAGAGTGGAGTTTGTTGTATTTCTGATTTAGTGGACTTTCCTAAATAACATCCTTGTTCCACCTTTGCTCTCAGTGATATAGATGTCTCCTCCTGACCTACAGTTGAAGGCCTGTGTCTACAGTTACTCCCCTTGTGTGTTGTGTCGCACTATATCACATCCGAGGGATTATGTGCGACTGTAAGTGTGAGTGTGTGTGTGATGAAAAATGAAGACTTGCTGTCACAGAAGCATCCATGTAAACACCAAACATGCTAACATGATTTAAAGCGCTGTAACTCGACCTCGCCTCTGCCTCTTCTTCCTCCCTTTCAGCGAGTGAACCGACATGAGGCTCCATCAACAGATATACAGATACACCTCTGAACTGTCCACCGCTACTGTCAGCTCGCCCCTCAACACATGCGTTCAACACACATTCCTGCGGATCTTGAAACCTGCAAGAGGGTCAGCGCACATGTCTGGGCTTGTTCTTTGGCGACTTTCTGCACAGAGGTGACTACGGGACGGTCCATTAAGCATGGACCTGCCGTTACTATGATGCTCCGAAGAAACAGTGAACTGTATCCTCATGTGACACATCGTTTTTTTTTTCTATAACTAGAGGAAAGGTCGAGCAGTTATGTTGAAGCCTTTTTTTTGAGGTTTGAGGTTTTGACATTAGTGGCTGTTGAAGGCTTTAAAATGTCAGAGAGAAGTTTAACCAGAAAGCTAGGAAGCCATCGAAATTCATGCACCTGAGTTACTACATGCCGCCAGAGTTTGATTTAGTTATTAAAGTTTGATGAGAGGAAAGTTCACCATCTGAATCTTCCTTCCAAGTGTCTCCACTGTTAGTGAGTTAAGGGCATCTCTCTCCTGTAACACAATGTCGTAGTGTAAAGCCGAACCTCTGTTATTAATCACCCCGGCTTTAACAGAGCAGTGACACAGTGAGGCCTTATGTGGGTGGGATGGAAATAGGTTTTTCTCCTCCAATAATTAGCTTATCAGACCATTTACACGGCTAAGAATCATTAGCACCAGTTTAATGAGGTGTCTAAAAATAGAGGAAACACATAAAGGATCAGAGGAACCTGCTGGAAGGAGAACTCCACACTCTGACTGTGTGTGTGAGAGCATAAATCCACATCATCTCCGCTCATTCCTGCATCTGTGTATACCTGAACATGTGTGCACTGTTTTATGTGTGTATGTGTGTGTGTGTGTGTTCTCCCCTGTGGGTCATGTTCCTGTTGTTTATGACCATGTGTGTGTCCGCACTTCCTTTTTCCAGCGAATCTTCATCGGAAATTTACTGACCATGAAAACCTCTTAAACAAGTTTTGATGTTTTCATATTTGGCACACATGTGGCTCCATTCTGTTTCTCTGACTTTTATGGTTTCTTAGTTGGTTTTATAAAGTGTCTGGATTCTTTTTGAGGTTCTAGATGGCTTTGTTTTTTTTTCTGTTCTGATCATCAACAAATCCCATAAAATCAAATAAACGACATAAACCTACAAAAAAAGGGGGGAAGAGACGTAGCTTGTTTGGCTTGTTTCTGTTATTTCCTTGTATGGCTTGTTGATGACGATACAATACGATACATTACATACAAGCACAAAGTAATGAGGTGAATTATAAGATATAATCCCATGCTGTGTTACTGCACATTACAGTTCAATAAAACTCACTATGACAATACTATAAGACATGATAGGTAAAGTAACAACACCATACAAAACTGCTTGATATACCATGCTGCACAATCTAATTGCATACAATACAATATATTCTGTTTGATACATTATGATGAGATACAATTAAATGAGACACAATATGACACTACAGTACAACAATTACAAATAACACAGCCTGATATACAACAATTCAATACAACGTAATATACTATAACAGGATACGATAAAACAAAAATGGATATAGCACAATACAGTGACATTTGGATTTGTGACGATTTTGTCACGGCATGATATGATAGGATTCAACACAATATGATACGATATGACACAAAATGATAAATACAATATGACACAATATGATATATGATGCAACATAACATGATACATTACGATAGGATATGACAATGTGATACGATGTAAAATATAACACAATATAGTCCGATACAATACAATACAATACGATACAATACAATACAATATGGCACAATATGACATAATACGACACAATATACTGGCATAGAAAAGATACTATTTGGTATGACACAATATGGTACAATACAACACAATACAATAAGATATGATACAATAGGATATAATAAAAAATGACAGAAAACTCTACAGCAAAATTTGAATTTGTGACAATCTGATTTGATACCATACAATCGGATTTGACATGACACGCTATTAGTAAGATATACTACCATACAATGTAATTTGAAAGTATAGGATACGATGGAATCAATTTGATATGAAATGATATATGTTATACAATATGGCACAGTATGAAAAAACGTGATGTAATAAAGTACACTATGATGCCACTCATTGTGATAGGATATAGTAATAATAGTATGATACATTATGATAGGATAGAAAACACTATGATGTAGTATGATGAGGGACAATATGAGTCTCAGTGTGGTATGAAACCCTGCAACATGACCTGATGAGGAAGAACAGGATATGAAATGCAGTAAGATGGTTTTGATTAAACAGGATACAATATAATGTGATGTGATAAGAAACAAAACAATAAGACAATATGATAGGATAGGATAACTGAGGACATGACAAGACAAGACCAATATGATACAATACACTATAATACATTTATTCATTGGTTCGTTTTAAATTAGATTGACTCACCAATGTGCTCTATCTTCAAGATAAATCAAGGAAGCTGCTATAAATATGTCTCACTGCAGCCAAAAGTACCTTCATCCTGTTTCTATCATTAGAGCTGATCTACGCTGGTCTATTTCTGCACGGCACTTAGCAAATAATACACCAAAGTAAATAGATCAGCAACAACAGGATGTGTATCAACAACAGAGAGGGGGACCTTTTTTAAGAGATGCTAAACGGTTTCCTGGATGGATTTAAAAGTTGTTGTTGTGTCTCACCTTGCAGACAAAGGTTTATTAAATGTCAAAACTACAACCAGACTACACTTTTCAATTTGCACCTTTAATTTCTAAACTTTCCATCTATGTCAAAGAAAAATAACAGACATAGTTTAAACTTGGTGTGATTTTAGAGTAACACCATCCAGACATTCAACGCACAGTATGTGCTGACACATACATACACACAGTACGAGAGTGGAAGGACCTCCCAAACGGTGCAAAGTGAGACGTCCAGACACCTGAACCCAGGAATTTATTCACTGATATCATTTGATCATCTGAGCGGAGCGTTAACAGTTCGAGTCTGGCTGCTCTCGCCTCCGCTGAAGTGACGTGAGCAACTGTTTGGGCTGAGGAGGTCAAGTAGGGTGTGTGTACGTGTATGGGTGTCTGTTAGTATGTGTGTGTGTGTGTGTGTGTGTGTGTGTGTGTGTGTGTGTGTGTGTGTGTGTGGGCACAGACTGTTGCTAGAGTAAGTTACAGTCTGGGGCAGCTGGAGCAACACCCACGCAAGAAAAACACCAAGCGCCCACAGACGGACAGTATACAAACACACAGGAAAATGAAGAGTCTGTTTCCATGAGGGAGTCTGGTTTGGTTCAGTTCAGTACAGTATGGTATGTTTGGTCCTGTTAACCCGGATCTCGCCTGGGTTTTCACCTGGCGCTTTACACAGGAAGTGTGCTAGAATGTCCATTTTAACAGATCAGACTGTCCGGGTAATGAGGGATTTAATTGAGAACAATCCCTTTTACAACCTTTGCAGTTTAGGTCTGCATAGGTGGCTTTGTATGCTGACCAAAGGACGCCAGAAAAGTAGAACAGCATGGGTCAGTCTTTTGAATCTTTTTATTGAATTCTAACAAAGGAAAAGCAAATAATTACCTAGCTAACCGTATCTTAATGTGTCATGATGTATTATTCCATATTGTATGGTATCAAACAGGGTTGCGCCTTATTGTAACTGATCTTAACAGATTGTAGCGCATCATAATGTACTGTATCAAATTATACAGTTACACGTTGTAACTTATCGTATTATAACATAGCATACTATATTGTAATGTACTGTCCTTTTGTATCATATAATAACTTATCGTACTGTAACTGTTGTATTGCATTGTATCCCACCATCTCATACATCTCATATTGTAATGTACAATATTATAAGGTATCGTAACTTACAGTATTAAATCAGACCATATTGTAGCGTATCATAGTTTAACATACTGTATCGTTTTATGCCGTATAGGGCTGGGCGATAAACCGAAAATTTACTGATACCCAAATTTACGACAATAACTGACGTCATTTTGCCCATATTGGTATAGTCAGTGTCAAAAAAATAAAAATAAAAGTTGGTTTTGGTTGTGTGTAGGTAGGCTATGGTCTCATGTCCCTTTAAGACGCTGTCCTACATCAGAGACGTGACTCCACCCCGTCCAGTCCATAACAAAGAGGGACAGACAAGTGAGGAGATGGAGGACCGTTCAAAAGTTGGAGCGGCAGCTGAAGTTAATATATCGTGATATTGATTTGAGGCCATATCGCCCAGCCCTAATACCATATTAAAACATATTGCATCCAGTTCTATCTTATCGTAACATAACATATCATGTCCTTTCCAGTTGTATTGTATTGCACCATATTGGACTCGTCCTCTCTGTTGAAACGCAGACTCATAAATCTCGAAACTTCAGTTAAGGTTAAAGCATGCTCAGACTTGAAGAAACTGAGAGATCATCCATTGACACATGATGATGTTTTTGGGCTTATCGACATCATCTTGTGTCAGTAGAGGTCAGAGGAGTTTATCTGTCTGTACTTTGTTTAAAGTGACAGTGTGCAGCTTCTTTAAAAGGAAACCCCAGAGCGAGACACCTCCAGGCCTTTATTGTTGCTTACACTATGACATCGAGAGAAAACTTTCAAACTTTCCCCGCAAAAGTGAGGTCTGTTCAACCTTTCCAAAATGAAAATCAGAGAGGGGTTTCTGTCATTACTTTTATAAATGAACAGCATTCTCCACGCTTTATTTCATGTGCTTCAAAATTGAATTCTTCCACAAGCTTCAGTCGGAGTATTTCTCTCCTACTTCCAAATGGTTTTGTCATCATACCCCTTCCATAAACACTCAGACTGTAACCACATGTAGACACACACAGACTCGGAGTCGTGGGGGGGCTTGTGGGGTGGCAGTAAGACTACTCCTGCCAGACTCTTGGCCGTGTCCCTGTCCAGTCTGAAGCTGTTACTAAAGCTCAGAGCGGATGAAGCAACTGACTGCAGACTGACAGCAGCTCGTCTGAGAGACAGTCTGAGCCCTCAGCACAAACACAAACACACACACAAACACACACACACCTCCACACACACACAGGAGAAATGTAAAAATACATCTGTGAAGCTGTATTTACGCTG